GAGAGAAAGTGTCACTGGGGCGATGGGCAAAGTTCTGTCCCGGGGCAGCAAAAAGCACCACCACCACCACCAAAAATGAAAAAAACCCACCTAAAAAAATGGAGGGTCTGGCGTGGGTGAGGCGTCCCTGGGAAGGGTGAGGCCACTGACGGAGGGGACCTGCTCAGCAGGAACAAAAAAACTGGTTGCTTGCTGGAGAGTGCCAGATGGGGTTGAATTCACCACAGGACTTAAGATGGAGGTGTTTTGTGGGGCTGATGCCAAAGAGGAGTCCCAGTCCCGTCCCCCCCCACCCTCTGCCGAGATGCGCCGAGGTCGTGCGCACGCAAAGGTTGAGAACCAGGCTCCTTTCCACAAATTTAAAAACCCCACTGTTGCCTTCGTCTCGACCACTTTCTTTTTCTGGCAGCATTCTATCTCTGTACTACTTTTTTTTTTTTTTTTTTTTTTTTTTGGGAGGTGGGGGGATTTAGTTTGTACGCAAGACAAGCTCTATTCAAAATAAAGTTATATCCTGTCTGTGGTCTACCACCTTCTCCTCGCCCCCAGCTATCTACCATGTTTCACAGAACCTATCTAGAGGGCTTCTTGAAAATCTTAATTCATTATTAGTTTTCTATCTGTCTACCACTTTTTTTTTTCCTGTCTTTGTGATAAGTGTGGTGAAAAGCTAGAGAGAGATTATCAGGGACTGTACGTACGAGCTGTGTACGCTGTGGCAGTTGCTATAGGTAAGAGAATGTTGTCAGCTTTAAGTATTTAGAAGTAACTCACTTTACGAATTTTGACTCTTCACAGCATTTTAGCAGAAAATTCCAAACCAAAAAAAAAAAAAGGGAAGAAAAAGCTTTTCTTTTGGCTTTAACTTGAGAAAGATCCTTAAATATAACTCCTGAACAACTTAGAAATTGGGGGTACAAATAGTTATTCAATACAAAGCACTATTAAAGGCAAAGAAAACTGTGGGAAATACTTTGGTATTTTTCATAACTGTCCCAAGCAAAAAGTTTTAAGAAAGAAAACGTGTCTTTTTAGTGGGTAGTTTTCTCCTAAGCAGCAGATTGAGTTTTTCTTCTAATCTCAATTTCAGTAGTACGGATGACTTCTTTTTTCCCCAGACTTTCTCAAGAGTTTAATGACACATCTTACATGAACCTGAGTACGCAAACTGTTCAAACAGTGCTCGATCTTCCAGAGAGCGACCCAGATGATGTTATCACACAAATACAGCTGAAAGTCCAGCCCTGTACCAGTGGTCCCTAAATCCTGCTGGCCCGTGGGCTACTATCTGAAGCAAGGAAAATGCCACAGGCTGTTTCATGTCTCCAGTTGGCTTCATTTTGAACATCTTAATTTCCTGTGTCCAGGAGCAATTTCACAAAGTCTTTCAGGAGGCAACTTTGTCTATAAGCGACGAGTAGGGGACCGCAAATAAGAAAATTTTGTTTAAAAAAAAGTACACACACACACTCTAACTTTGCTTTTGCAAGTTACTTGAAGAATGTGAATTAGCTTTCATCCAAAGTTAATTATCCAGCTTCCATCACTGCAGTCTTAAGTGCTTCAAGGATACTGAGTACGAGGCAGAACCACTGAACATTAACCTTATTGTAGCAAAAAATAAAAGGCCATTGCTAGGTTTAGGTGTAACTGGATGTCTCTTGAGAAGAGTTCAGCTGTTTGGGCCAAAGGGAGGTTTTCACCCCAATATCTTCAGCTTGAATTGGGGAGTCGGTCGAGTTGCAGGAGAAACTGGCTTGTACAAAAGGCAGGTGGGGGATTTAAAAGTAATAGTGGTGACTTATTCAGTGGGTCACAGCCACACTTTTAGCAGGGCTCCCAAGAGAACAGTGGAGACAGCCCTAAAATGTTTCCTGGTAGCAGTGTGATGCTGGGGAATGAGGGCTTGGAGCTTTTTTACTGCCAAGGCCAGAAGGAGCTGGAACAGTGAATTACAAATTACGGTTTTCAAAACTTCTGGGCCACTTGCATCCCTTGACATAGACATTTCCACTTGAGGAACTGAGCAGTACCGATGGGTCACTGCCACAGTCTGAATAGATCTCTATGAAATGTCTCTTATTTCTTGCTCAGAAAAGAACTTTCCAGGAAGATGTGTGAGGAATTTTACCTATTCTGGCTTGCTGGTCGTGTCCCCCATTCCTTGTAGAACACTGGGGTTCCATCTCATCTGGATTTTGGGGTTGACTCCGAGTATCTAGTTTCACAATTTTGGTGTGCAACCAAAAATATCAATGGATGTTGCAGCCAAAGAACAATGAGAGAAGGCACACTATAAGAACCCCCCTTTTCTGACTATCCTGAATCCTTAGCAGTGCTGTTACCAGCCCAGGTCTGTAAACTGCAGGTGTTTGAGCTGCCATACCATGTCCATACTGGTGGGCTGGCTGTTGAAGGGCACCTGAGAGCATCTCCAGAGGCCAGCAGTCATACCTGTGTGGTTGGCTACCTGTAGAGATGCCATAAGTTACTTTTAGAATGGGATAATAAATATCTTTTACCCAGGTAGAATAAATCACATCAAGCAAATCCATTGATCCATCTTAATCACGGGAGAAGATGCTGCTCTGGGTCCTCAGTGGAGTTAGAGGAGAAGGCTTACAAACGAGAGGAGGACAAGAATTCCCATTGTATGACTGCATCCTCCCTGCCTTTTCACTTGAGTCATTACTTTTAACCAAATAGGTTTCTAGATTTGCAAAATAAGCAAATCGGTGCTAGTTGTGAAGGATCCAAGGTTGAGCAACCTGCTGTGGTGGGAGGTGTCCCTGCCCAGGGCAGGGGGGTTGGAACTCGGTGATCTTTAAGTTCCCTTCCAACCCAAACCATTCTATGATTCTATGAATACTCTGTGGAAAACATCATTTCCCTGGAGCTGGGTACGTGGACGTCCCGTGGCCACCTGTGAGTTGTTGTGTCTTTATTGTAGTTTCATTTTATGAGGGGTTCCTGGTGCCAGCCGTGACATCACCCC